ACCCTGCAAACCCTAGAACGGACGGTCCACTAGTGGTTCGTCCGGTCTAGTGCTCCGAAAAATCTCGGGTTTCATGTTTTCGCACCAAATTCAACAAACTATAGCTCAAAACAACCTAGAGATCATCAGGAACTCAAATCTAAGATCAATTTCATGCAATTTGCACTCAATACACGCAAATCTCCATTTTCAATTTGATTATCATTTTTGGGCATAATCCGAAACACTCACTTAGCTCAAATTCGAGCTTGGGGTTTCGTTGGGGATGTTCTGTAGGGTTGATTTATGCGTTCCTTGTTTGATTTCGACTGAAATCGAAGCTTCAATCAAAGATTGAAGATTCGGAAATTTGAGAGAGTTTGTGGGGAGTGAGAGAGCGAAGTGAGAGGCAAAGAACCGCGAAATGGGCGGACTTGGGGCAATTCTCGCATCCCAGAAGAAGCAGGAGGTGGCCAAAGGTGGGAGAGGCGGCTGCATGGCGAAGCAGGAGGTGGCGGCGCGTGAGAATTCGATTCCGCGACCTCGGACCGGACGGTCTGCGCCTCCCAGACCGGACGGTCTGCTTCCCAGACCAGACGGTCTGACCAATTTTCCGCCCTTTTTTCTCGCTCGTTTCGGTCTAATCCTTTGTGTCAACTTGATTAGGGTCTAATTCAATATTTTAGGGACATTTTTATGGCTCATATTTGATTTCCTAAAATTCGGTTTGAAAGTCGAATTTACGGGTTATTACATTCTACCCCCTTAAAATGATTTCGTCCCGAATTCTAATAAGGGAGTTGAGAGAAGATACATACCGAAGAGATGTGGGTAATAGTCGCGTATCTCTTGTTCCGGCTCCCATGTCATGTCCGAGACTCCTTGGCTGCTCCAAATGACTTTGACCAAAGGAATCTCCTTGTCCCGCAATCTCTTGATCTTTCGATCGATGATCTGAAGTGGTTGATCGCGGATTCTGACATCACTGGTAAACTCAATCTCCTGTGGCTGCAATATATGCGAAGGATCCGTGATGTACTTCCGCAACATAGATACATGGAATACATTGTGAATGCGACCGAGCTCTGGAGGTAAGTCTAATCGGTATGCTACAGCCCCGACCTTTGCAATCACAGGATACGGCCCAATGTAACGCGGCTTGAGCTTCCCCATCTTTCCAAACCGTGTATGCCCTCTAATCGCCTGTACTCGGAGGAATACAAAATCGCCCACCTCTACTGTAAAGTCTCTTCTTCTCTGGTCCGCATAAGACTTCTGACGATCCTGTGCGACCTTCAGATTGATCTTGATCTTGCGGATAACCTCTGTCGTCTCTTCCACAATCTCAGGTCCAAAGATACGTCGCTCTCCGATCTCCGTCCAACACAAAGGCGTCTTACAAGGCCGCCCGTATAAGGCCTCGTAAGGTGGCATACCTATGCTAGCGTGGTAGCTGTTGTTGTACGCAAACTCGCACAACGTCAGGTACCTATCCCAAGGAACTCCCCATTCCAGAATGCACGCTCTCAACATATCCTCGAGCGTCTGGATGGTTCGCTCCGATTGTCCATCTGTCTGAGGATGATAAGCAGTACTCATCCTCAGCTGAGTCCCCATCGCGCTCTGAATGGTGCCCCATAGTCGCGCGGTAAACCGAGGATCACGATCTGAAATGATCTCACTCGGAACTCCATGCAAGCGAACAATCTCATCGATGTATATCTGTGTCAGCTTCTCCACTGTATACTCCTGTCGGATCGAAATGAAATGTGCGGACTTCGTCAATCGATCGACGACCACCCAAATAGCATTCTTCTTCGCTAGGGTCGTCGGTAATCCAACAACAAAACCCATCGCAATCGAGTCCCACTTCCATTCCGGAATCTCCAAAGGCTGTAACTTCCCACTGGGCATTTGTCGCTCCGCTTTCACCTACTGACAGACCAAGCAATGGGCTACAAAGTCTGCGACATCTCTCTTGATGCCTGGCCATGTATACCACTGTCTCAAACCCTGATACATCTTGCTGGCTCCCGGATGTATAGCCAATCGAGACTGATGAGCCTCTCGCAAGATGTCCTGTCTCAGCTCAAGATCTGCCGGTACACAAAGTCGCTGATGGAGCCTTAAGGCATGCTCCTCATCCATCTGGTACCCCTTCTCACCATATCTGCTAATCTCATCAATAATCTTCTGCAAGTCCGGATCATGACTCTGTCCCGCTATCACACGTCTCCTCAAGCTCAAATCATGATCTTCCTCAATCTCCATATGTCATAACATAGCGGATAATTCAGCTATGTTCTCCTGCGAAGATGAGAGTACCTGAATAGCTGATAGGATCTTCTTCCGGCTCAAGGCATCTGCGACCACGTTCGCCTTGCCCGGATGATATGCAATCTCCAAGTCATAATCAGCTATCAACTCAATCCATCTACGCTGTCGAAGATTCAGATCCTTCTGCGATATCACATAGGTTAAGCTCTTGTGGTCGGTGTTGAGCTTAACCTTCTCTCCATATAGATAGGATCTACAAATCTTCAACGCATGTACCACTGCTGCCAGTTCCAAATCGTGCATCGGATAATTCTCCTCATGTTTCCTCAGCTGTCGGGATGCGTATGCAATGACATGTCCTTCCTGCATCAATACGCAACCCAAGCCTAGTCTCGACGCATCGGTATAAACCTCATAGAGAATACCTGGCCGTGGTAATGCCAGTAAAGGTGCGGTCGTGAGTCGTCTCTTGAGTTCTGCGAAGCTCGCTTCACACTCCAGTGTCCAATCAAACCGCACATTCTTCCCCGTCAACTTGGTCATTGGTTTTGCCAACTTGGCGAAACCCTCGACAAATCTCCTGTAGTACCCTGCCAGTCCCAAGAAACTGCGGATCTCCGTGGCATTGGTAGGCGTCTTCCACTCCATCACAGCCTCAATCGTTGCCGGATCCACTTGTACACCCTGAGCCAAAATCACATGGCCCAGAAATCCAACTTCATGCAACCAGAAAGCACACTTGCTGAACTTCGCATACAACTTCTGCTCCCTCAAGCGCTGCAATACCATACACAAATGTTTCTCATGGCTGCGTCGATCCGGTGAGTAGATCAATATGTCATCAATGAAGATGATGACAAACTCGTCGAGGTAATCCATGAATACACGGTTCATCAACTGCATAAATACTGCAGGAGCGTTCGTCAGTCCAAAAGGCATAACGACAAACTCAAAATGTCCATACCGTGTACGGAAAACCATCTTCTGCACATCCCCGACTTTCACACAAATCTGATGGTATCCCGAGCGCAAATATATCTTCGAGAACCATTGTGCACCCTGCAACTGATCAAGTAACTCATCAATCCTCGGCAATGGATACCGATTCTTAATGGTTACCTGATTAAGTCCTCGATAGTCAATGCACAATCGCATGCTACCGTCCTTCTTCTTGACGAATAGCATGGGCGCTCCCCAAGGCGAAACACTCGGCTGAATGAACCCCTTCTCCATCAAATCATTCAACTGCTTCTTCAATTCCGCCATCTCCGCTGGAGCCATCCGGTACGGAGTTTTAGATACCGGTTCCGTACCTGGAATCACATCAATACAGAAGTCCACCTCTCTCTCCGGTGGTAACCCTGGCAAATCCTCCGGAAAGACATCGGGGAATTCACGAACCACATGCGTCTCATCCAACCTCACCTCAGACTCCTTGGTAGTTGTCACTACCACGAGAAACGCCTCATCTCTCTTCCGAATCATTCGGCTGGCCCGGAACGCTGATATGATTGGAAAAGGATTCCGTGCTCTGTCCCCTAGAAACTCAAACTTCCCTGCCGCATATGCAAACTGAATAACTCTTCGGCGGCAGTCAATATGTGCCTGATGCACGGTCAATCAATCCATTCCCAGAGATTCCTTCCACAGAGTATTAGAGGAATCCCACGTAATACCCCTGTCACCGGCAGAATCTCTCCAGAGGGAGTGTGTACTCTATATCTCTCAATCGTATCCATATCCATCACATCCAACTTCTCTACCATACTCAAGCTTAGGAAGCTATGTGTAGCTCCCGTATCAAACAAAACGTGGCATGCAGTATCATGAAGATGTATGATACCTGTGATGGTAGCAGCGTCTAACTGCTCGGGGTCACCCTCGACCACAGCATCAATGGTGACTGTCTCCTGAGCAAAGTAAGTCCCGTCCCCCAGGACTTCTTCCTCTGCAGCAAGTGCATATACCCGTGGCGCTACGCCCCCTCTACGTGGTGGCTGAGGGCGTGGAGGTCTGGCTCCCTGCTGACTGGAAGCAGCTACATCTCCGGTGCACTGGTTAGCGAAGTGGCCAGGTTGACCACAACGGTAACAAGTGTACCCAGTACGGCATGGTCCAACATGATCTCGCCCGCAGCGTAGGCAAGATCTGCGTGGTCCTGACAGTGCTGGTGGCGGTGGTGCTGCAGGACGAAACGCTGGCGCCTTCCCCTTATCACGGGGCTGTATCACCTGTCTGGAACTCGAGGGACGAGTGAATGTAACTCGTCTCATAGGACTCCTCTCTCGGTTCCTCGCTTCTTGCTGCTCTTCATATTCTGTCCTCTCCAACTTCGTCAGCTGCGCAATGTACCTACTCAGCGTAGGGTACTCCTGGATCTCAATCCTCCTGCGCAGATATGGGCATAATCCAGTCACGAACTTCTGGATCTTCAGCCTCTCGGTCGGCACCAGATGTGCCCCATATCGCAGCAAACGGGTGAACTCAGCCTCAAACGCAGCTAAAGTGCGATCACCCTGCTCCAAATGGAGGAACTCTACAATACGGTGGTCCTGGTCTCCCTTCAAGCAATATTTGTCTTCAAAGCGTGCCCGGAACTCTTCCCAAGTGAACTGATATCCCGGTACTGCCTCACGAACCACTTCCTCCCACCAGTGAAGAGCTTCTCCAAACAGAGGGTGCCACTTCCTCCCACCAGTGAAGAGCTTCTCCAAACAGATGGTGGCTCGCGATCTCTGCCCGGTACTGCAGTGGGCATCTGACATAATCCAGATCCCTGGAGATGCGGATCAGCCAATCCTCCGCGATCTCAGGTCTCTGGTACCCTCAAACCTCGGTGTCCCCATCATCCGAAGTTCCCGTATCAAGGGCAGGTAGTCCACCACAACAGGGGCTAGATACCCTGGTGGTCCCGGTGGAGGTGGGGGTGGAATACCCTCTGATCTAGCTCCAGCCTGATGTGGCATGTTCATCTGGTACTGACGCCACATCGTATCAAAGAACTGCTGCTGGAACTCTGGTGATGCATGCTCGGGTGGAGGGGGTTCTTCCCTCACCGGCAAATGGGCAGGTCTACCACGTCTCGGAGGCATCGGTACACTGCAGACAAGGGAGAGAAAGTCTCAGTTCTGGTGACTTCAGGATCATGTATAAACACGTTTTAAAACCTTTCTTTTGAAATCGTTTTAAATCATAAACAATATTTTCGTGGGTTTCAAGCAATTCCTTCCTATGGAAAGAACTGCTCTGATACCACAAGCTGTGACACCCGTAACCCGTCTCCCGCTCCCGAGTTGTGCCACATGGACGCTCAAACCTTATGATAAAATAGCGGGAATTTAAAACATTTTACTTTATTACACATGCAGCGGAAAACAAATATATGTTTAACAAACCCACGTACGGTAGTATACACGCCCACATAAAGATGGTGAATCCGATATAACACAAAGTCTAGTCACCGTTCGTACAAACCAACATAAGTCCAAAGAAAGAAAAGTACACAGAGAACTCCTCACGTGTCACCAGTACCCTCGTCCTGCTGCTGCCAAAACTGCTCCGAGCCTGAAATGTTGCATAACAACGTCCATAAGCTACATGCTTAGTGAGTACTTCGGGTTAGACCCGAAGATCATACTCAAATTGCAAATGGCCAAACACAACCAATATTACACACACGGTAAATATAGGTGTATACATATATACACATTACATGCCATCAAACACGGTTCACTCAATGGTACAGGTAATCACTATCATACACACTCAGTCCGAATAACGAGTCATCGGACATAACCGTCAAATCATCTCAATGTGCATCGCACACACAGGATACCGCAAGGATCTGGTGATCCCAGATCAGGACAAATATACCAGTCAAAGCTCGACCCATCGGGTCTATCAGTATCATCAATCCCGTCAAATCATCTCCACGTGTGCATCACACATGTGGGTAAAGACGCTCCATGTGCAACGCACATCCCCCGCTCTCCTCGGCCATCGCCGGAATAATAAAACATATCAACTCCGTGCCCCACTTCGTAAAACATATCACATCAATCATCCTCTCTGGTATCGATGTCACCTCTCGATGCCAGAGCGCCAGGTGCCTACTCCAGGCCACCACCGACTATGTCGAGCGAAGTCAGTACACAACTGACAACCTCTCGCCGGCCGTCCGTCACGGAGAAACTCATTGGACCCGAGCTCAGGTCTTTCTGAGTTCCTTC